TTTTTTTTTTTTTTTTTTTTTTTTTTTTTTTTTTTTTTTTTTTTTTTTTTTAATAGTATTTTTTTTTTTTTTTTTTTTTTTTTTTTTTTATTTTAATTTATTATAATAGAATGACATTATAATTTCTATCCAAGGACTCGAGGAGTCAATGCAACCAGATCTGAATAAACGTTGGATTGATTTTAAAGCAGAGTTATTCAGAACTTATTTAAAATAATAAAAAGAGATATCCAAAAGTACTGTGTAAACAACAATCAAATATTAAAAATATTAAGGAGCACCACTAGCACCAAAGGGAAAATATATAATGCAACAAGATCCACAAAAAAGACAAGCATAAATGTGAAAAAAATAGAAAAAATCAAAGAATGCCTGCGGTAGGAAATTTTTTTCTTTGTATTAATATACTGCCTATGACTATTGGTACAATCTTAAATATATGTTTCAGAAAATAAACAAGAGGAAAAAGAGGTTTGCCCACCTGCACCAAACAAGTAGTCAATGTCTAGCAAACATCCTTCCTACTGATTTTTCAGAGTGACAGGCTCTGGATAATGAACTTGATGAAGAAGAAAGAAAGCAAGAGATTCAACATCAACTTAGTGATGACTGCCACAACCATGTTGTGAAGATTATAAAGAAAGAATGGCTATTGAAAAAAGTAATTATTACAATATATAATCTATACCTATATAGATATCAGTGCTAATATACTTTATATACTTTTAGCTAAGCCAGATTTTGTTGCTATATGATGATACTTCACTAGCACAAAATCACAATAAACCAAAAAGAAATTAGTAGAAAAGTGGTAAACTTGAAAATAATTCTATACCACCAGCTGGAGCTCCCAGTTGGTGTGTTTCATGCAACTATGATTTTGCTGCTTCTCTTAGTACTTTGGTATAAGTTCCTCTGGTGCTGGTGGCTTCAATATATATTTTGGATCTGGTGCTGCTGACTTTGTTTCATATTTTGTGTCTAGTGCTGCTGCTCCTAATACTCCCAATAAATATTCTGGGTCTGGTGCTGTTGTATATTCTGGATCTGGTCCTGTTGCTCTTGATACAAATTCTGAATCAGATACTATTGCCTCTAATACTAATGCTACCCTGAAACTAACTGCTCTGCTGCCTGAAACTAACTGCTCTGCTGCCCCCAATACTAACCGCTTTGCTGCCTCAATACTAACTACTCTGCTGCTCTGATACTAACCGCTCTGCTGCCTCTGATACTAACTGCTCTGCTGCCTTTGATACTAACAGCTTTGTTGTCTCTGCAAAAATCAATCTGATGCTTCTGTAAAAATCATTCTGCTGCCCTCAATACAATTCATGGCAGAAATTCCCCTGGCATCTATCCTAATATCATATCTGGTACAATTTTTAATATTTCTAATACAAATTATTTAAGATTTTTACTAAAATTTTTGTAATATTTTATTCATATAATTTTTGAAGGGGCTACTAATAATGATGATACTATTGTGACAGCACAAAAAAATAAAGATAAAACTGGTAATAATTGTATTCAATTAATTTGGTATATGTTAATAATTATTTTATAATTTAGAATTAAACAAAGATCTTAATAGTTATCCTGTCAATACTGTTAGATCTTCTAAAC